AAGACGATATTTGGCCATATAGTATACTTGCTTTGTGGTCCATTTCATTAGTCTAAAAGTGTGCGATATAACCAACCCGGAGCGAACAAGTATCCACTTTGATTGTAGATGCATATCCTAATTCGGTAGTATTCTACCCTATGGTAGATCTTAGGTTGGCACTTTCCATACTTGATGGGTGCAACATCATCAAATTTGTTGTTTGCAGTCCCCCTCCCTCTAATCTAAGTGTCTGACACAACAAAGAACAACTACTATGGAGGCTGCTACAAGGGAGAATACATAAGCGTGGAACAGGAGAAGAGGTCATCCATAAGAAGAAAGACCATCCAGGTAGCACTTGCTTACTACAGAAATGAACATAGGCTACGAACTATCAGAATCCCTAAACTTAAGCTTAGCTGAAGTTGTTGACCCTGAAGACCCTCTACCTCCACCTCTGCATTAGCTAATGCTGGTAATGGAGAAGAGAAAGATGATGAAAAAGTTGAGGATCTCAAGATCCCTGACAATGGAACTGACTTGGTGTGCTTTCTCAAACTCTCATTAGATTTGGGACAAAATGACTGCATAAAATGAAGAACATTGTTAATAGTTATTAAGAAAACCATAAGATGGAAGCCAACTAAAACCAACGATCTGCTAGTTATTAATAAATAGAGAAAATAGAAGAGCTTTAGCCATGTCTAAAACATACCCATTTGTAGATCAACTTCAATGTATGAAGGGCAAGTAGTATAACCAAAGAAGCAAACTATAATCCAAAGACAAGATATAAGAAACTGTCAGAATGGTTATATAGCCAACGTGGTTAGTTGTCTTTGATCTCTTGATAAGAACAAAAACTTATATCTTCTTATTGGCCATTTTTAAAAAAGAAATGTGCCTTATCACTAATTGTTCCTAACTTGGTTGAGCAACCTTTGCAATAAAAGTGCAATTACAAGCATGAAGCCAACTTCTTAGGATCTGTACAACAACAAAACACGATAAATGAAAAGCAAAAAAACAACAACCACCAAGTGTAGAATGTGGATTTAGTTTTAATAAGATTCCTATTCAAATGGTTTATTTATGAATAGGGGTTTAATTTAGAATAACCTTTAATAAAATGGTGCATAATATAGATTGCTTTGAAAAATAATAGCTACTCACTTTCAAGTTCAAAAGCATATAAAAGCAGGCATAAAATAGATAATTTAAAGAATAACAACTACTCACTATCAAGTTTAAAAACCAACAACAAATGATATATGCAAAAACATCATTTGAACCAGATGATAGCAGCAAAAAGAAAAGACAATGGCATTTGATGCAAACAAAAAACAACAGCATTATACAACGAAAAAGAATTCATTAAAGAGAAACTACATCAAGCAACGAAGAAGTAAAAAACTTAAGCATACACAAACCAGAGGTTATCACTTACGTATCTAGTCGATGCCTCAAGTTCAAATAAGTTTTCACCAACAACAATGCCTTGTATGAACCGGGGACAAAAGAATCATTGACACATCATAAATATGGAGAATATATCAGATCTTAGTGTTACATTGACATCATATGAAAAATAGAGGACATGTTTTCTCTCAGCAATTTCTAACAGGCCATAAAACTCGGATCTATTTTTTCTGGCAGAAATGGAAAATATTACACACTTTCATATGCTATCACCTACCAAACAAAAAGAATCCAAAACAGTAACCTACAATAGTTTCACCTTTTCATCACGAGCGTTCTTTACTGTATTATCACATGGAAAAACCTTCAGTGACAAAATTTTGTCAAGGGGATGGCCTAGGTATGACCCGACACATTCACGTTCTGTTATAACTGTCAACTATGATCCTGCCAACATATGCAAACAACTAAGAGTCATATAAATGAAAACTTCCCTACAAAAAAAGGAGATAATCATTCCAAACACAACTGGAGGGAATCAACATTAATATTAATCTAACGTAGATTTTTATGACTTTTAAGCCCATGTTATTGATTATTGCAATGGGTTGAGGACAGATAAGCTAGAAAAAATTAGCAAGAAATACTAAATCCTTTTGAGGCATTTCCTCAAACACCTTATCTGCACATTGAGAACAGATTGAAGAAAGCAAGGAAAACATGAAATCCAAGATATAATTTTATATTCTTCAACAAAACTTAGATGCAAATAAATCTATGGAACAAAGTAGAAAACTAAACCCTTCCATTTTTTGAAGATCTTTCACAAGAAATTGTTCAAGAAGCAGACATGGTGATACAAAACAAGAAGATCAACCCTGAACAAAACAGATGTGTAAGTCAAGAACAAAAGATGTGCAAGTCATCTTTGATCAAAAACAAGTAAGATGATTGCTGAAAACAGTTCCAAAAAAGAATGTCATGTTGGAGATTTCATTACCTAATATGTAAAAATCTTTCGAGATATAGTGATAAGTAAACAAAATCCAGCAATGAAAAATCGAGATGAAGAACACATTAGAAAATTGATGGAGACAGGGAGAGAACCCTAGTCGTATGAGAGGAGATGGAGAATCGATTCAGGAGATGAAAACGAAAGTAAAACCTAACAGTATAATTATATGGTTTTCAACCATGAATCATCAATCTTGAATCGGCATTATGGGGAATCTAAATTCTGTAGAGCGTGGGATGTTATTAGGAATCCAATTGGAGTGTGTGTTGAGAGGGATGAGAGCATGGGAAGTTATTGGGAATCCAAATAATGTATTAATGAGTTGTACATTGTTGTAGTTAAAAGATTCTTAAAAACAGATTTAAAAATGTTGTATCTTAAAGTTTTATCGATTGTTTTTAAGACTTTTTAGATTTCATGCATAAAAAAACAGTACTTTGTGCATATAAGATTGTTTTTAAGACTTCATGCATAAAAAAAACAGCACTTTATGCATATCAAGTTGTTTTTAGGACTTTTTTCAACTCTGCTTGATAAGGTAGTATATATATTTTAAGTTTAACTTTACTATACAATATATTTTCTTTCAAAAAAAAAATATATTACATATGTTTATACGTGCACACGTGCACGCACACACACACACACACACACATATATATATATATATATATATATATAATATGGTTAAAAAAATGATATTTATTAGTCATTAAATTAATTGATTCAACGAATATGATTAAATGGTTGTTGAGAACAATATTTTTTAAATTAAGAAAGCTCACTCCCACCAACGTTTTATTCAAAAAGACAAAATATAAACAAAATAAAGGGAAAAGTCTAAAAAAAAGTAAATGGACTTTAATGTTTAGAATGATTAAGTCATTGGACAAACTTTTGGAACAAATAAGTCATTGGACATTTTAAAACCTATTAACTCATTGGACTTTCTAAAACTTGTTAAATACATTCTTATGACCTACAAAACTGGTTAATGTGATAGAAAAAACCCAATGGACTTTCATATTTTAAACGATTAAGTCCCTAAACTTTCTTTGAACAAAAAATGTACTTACATCTGTAAAATGAAACAAATATATCAAAAAGTACTCGTATTTTACAAATAAAAAGTACTTATATTTAAAAAAATTATTAATGAAATTTATTTTAATTAAAAATAAAAAATATTCTATCAGTGATTTTCTAAATTAAAAAAATAAAAAATAAAAATGATTACTAATTAAATTTATTTTAATTAAAAATAAAATATATTTCGTATATAATTTCACAAATTCAAAAAATGAAAAAAAAATTAAAAAGAATTATCAATTAAATTTATTTAATTAAAAATAAAATATATCTGTTGGTGATTTTCTAAATTAAAAAAATAAAAAATAATTTGATTAAATTACTAACGTATACGATAAAATTTAACTAAATATATAATTAATTAAAATTCGTCGCTAGTATTTATTAGTATATATGTATGAATTATTTATATTTAATTGATGACAAACTTGACCACGATTATGTGTTCTAACACAGTGACATGTTAATGCATGTGGAAGATCGTGCTTAAATCTTGTAGGTCATATCAAATTCACTGATGGAGTAGCGACGAATTTTAGTTAATTATGTATTTAGTTAAATTTTATCGTTAATCCTTTAATAATTTAATCAAATTATTTTCTAGTTTTTTAATTTAAAAAATCACCAAAGAATATATTTTATTTTTAATTAAAATAANNTTTAATTTGAAAAATCATATACGAAATATATTTTATTTTTAATTAAAAATAAATATAATCAATAATCCTTTTTAAATCTTTTTTTTATTTTTTTTTATTTAAAAAATCATTGATATAATATATTTTATTTTTAATTAAAAAAATTTCATAATAATTTTTTTTTGAATATAAGTACTTTTTTGGTATATTTTTTCATTTTATAGATATAAGTATCTTTTGGTTCAAAAAATGTTTAGGGATTTAATTGTTCAAAATATGACAGTTTATTGAGTTTTTTTCCAGACTTTTTCAATTATTTTACTACATTAACAAGTTATATGAGTCATAAAAATGTATATAACAGATTTAAAACGTTAAAAAAGTTATGTAACATATTTTAAAATAGGGGAGTGCTAATGGCACCCCCTTTGATGTCAGAATCAGGTCATTCAAGCATTGAGAATGTAAAAAGCATGTATTGATGGTGATGTGTGTGAGGAAGAAATTCATAGATAGGGATGCATTAAGCAATGCATAGAAGTGCATTTAGCCCACCCATTAAAATATCCAAAAATTTATTTATTTCAAAAAAACTATTTAAAAAATTAATCATTTCAAACACTAAAATTAATTAAATTTTTTAAATTTTTTTAAAAATAAATTAAAATAGAAAAACAATCATATTTTTCTTGGTGATTTAACATATCACTATTAATATAAAATCTTTATCCGTTTTGGGGCCTGTCCCAAGTACACAATTGCCTGTCCCAAGTTACAGCTCAAACCAACATCTGTTGTACGCCTGCCCACCATATTGGATGTTGTCAAATCGTCATCCGTAGTATCCATCGTCCGTATTTTCGTACTCCCATTTCCTGCTATGTTGCTCGCTCCAGATTAGGGTTCTTTAACTTCAATTCATCTTTTCTTTGTCTTTATTGATTTCCCCTTTTCTTCTCTTTCATATGTAGTCGTTGAATCAAGAAACCCTGCTCTGATTTGATTCCTGAAAGACCCATGTACATAGCTTAGGTATCAGTAAATCCCTCGTCTTGTCTTTGTCTGAGAGGCTAGTTTGTAGTATTTGATGCTTTTGGATGATGTCGGAAGCTAATATTAGCAATCAGCGTCATCATCAAGCCCCGACGTACGAGCCTGCAAATTTACAGCACCACCAGCAGCAACAAGGAATTGCTATCAATAATAATGATGACGAGGGTAATCAACATCATATGGTTGAAGATGTAGTAGTAGAGGAAGACGATGACGTTGCCGGAGGGGAAGAAGAGTCTATAGACAACCCTAGCCAGATCCGTTACGATCACCACAACCCCCATCATCAACACCATGATTTACGGAACGGCGTTGCCCTCGAAGGCGGCATGGAGGAAATGAGTGCTCCGCCGCATGCTTTATATGTGCAGGACTCTGAAATTCAGCCGCTTGCGGTGGGCGGTGGAGGCGCTGATCAGCTTACCCTCTCATTTCAGGGTGAAGTTTACGTGTTTGATGCTGTTTCACCTGAAAAGGTTTTGCATTTGCTTATATCTGACATCACTGTTCTTTGTTTGCTCCCATTTTGCATAAATTACTGACCTAACTGAACATTATTTCTAGCTTTCATTCTGGGTTTAAAATCTAGGTTTCTCTTGCAGAAGGGGTTATTGAATTTTTGGTTAAATTGTAATCAATTTAACCAAAAATATAATCAACAGGAAACCAAGTAATTCTTAGTTTCCTGTTGATTATAACTGAAATGATATGTATAATCCCTAAAGATTGATTCAGCTATTTGTTGATGTGCTGTAAATTGTGGAGCTTTTTTCTTGATGGGGATTTTACAGGTGCAAGCTGTGTTGTTACTCTTGGGTGGATATGAAGTACCCACCGGTGTCCCTTCTTTAGGAATGCCTCCCCAAAATCAAAGGGTATAAGTGTACCTATTTGTTCATGTGCAAGTAATTCTCTCGGTTTTTAATGATTATCTAGTTTATTGAAACTTTTACATCAATTATCTATAGGATTTGGCCGAATTTCCTACAAGGTCAAGTCAACCTCAAAGGGCAGCCTCCTTGAGTCGGTTCAGGGAGAAGAGAAAAGAAAGATGCTTTGATAAGAAAATACGATACAGTGTGCGGAAGGAAGTTGCTCTGAGGTAGTACTAGAACTATTAGAGATCTCTTTGGTCCTATACACACATACATACATGGGGGGCATTCTTTTGAGGACTCTCTAATTCGTGATATCTATGACAACCAGTGCATCATGTGCAATTTCATATGATCTTTTTTATTTATTTATGGCTAGAAGTTAATGTAGTTATCAACATATATTTGTTTCACAATGTGTTTTTCTCATATGTATTCGGTTCACAATATGAAACTTTTTTGCGTGTTTGACTGTTTGTGAAACATAAAATACACGTTAAAAAGTTTCACATTGTGAACCGAATACATATGAGACAATTATATGTTAACCAATTAATTAAATATTATACTTAGATGGAAAAAGATCGTGTGAAACAAAACCTTCACGGATCTCACAAATTTTGGAGTTTTCAAATGATTAAGCCCCTACATATATATTTGTTAGATGTTAAATCTTTTGATAGTTAGTTAACACATATGTCTACATTTTTTAACCTATATAGTCTTCTTGTTCTTTGATTTCCCATGTCACAATGTCCATAGTCACTTTTGGTGCTTCTGTGTCTACAATTAGCTCATGAACATGTACTATGCCACATGATTTGTTGTATTTAATTTCTCTTTATATCAGTTTCTGCAGCCTTCCATCATTTTTTGTATGTTGTACTGATTTATCTATATGGAATCTCAAAGGCAAACCATAATAATGCAGGGAAGATATATAGCAAATTATTCATTTGACCATGTCGGTATTTGGGGACAAATTATATTGAGATTGTACTGATTCACTCTTGATCTACCAAGATCTGCATTCGTCACTAGCAAAGATCATACGTGACTGAAGGATACCCAAAACGTATTTCTAGTTGAACTTTAAAAGGTGAACTCAGACGTAATATATGAAACTTATAAGTGAAAATCAAAATAGAAAATTGCTGGACTTTTGATGTAGTCAGTTCCCAATTGGTGGTAGCTCATGTTATATGCTATACACAATTTGATGTTAGGCTGGAAATTATTTGGTAGGAGTCCATTTTTTGTGTCTTTTTGTTCCTTAAGTTGGATATCTGCTTCATGTTATTACTCCCAGAATGCAGCGTAAAAAAGGTCAGTTTACGTCATCCAAGGCAATTTCTGATGAAGCGGGTTCAGCTTCTTCTGATTGGAATGGTGGTCCCAGCCAGGACGAAGAAACAACGTAAGTACCCATTTCGTTTTTCTTATCATCTCTAGATTCCAATGCTCTCCCTTTTCATGTTCCAGGCTTGTTTCAGCCTTTAACTCTTTAAGCTGCTATACCGCTTTGAATTAATGCCATTGTAAATTATCACTTGTTCATCAAAGCCGCTAGTTGAATTTGCCTCATTTACTACTCTGTACAGATGTAGGCACTGTGGTATCAGCTCGAAGTCCACTCCAATGATGCGCCGTGGACCTGCTGGCCCAAGAACTTTGTGCAACGCATGCGGGCTCAAATGGGCCAACAAGGTATTTATCTGGGAATAGTTAATCAGTTTTGCGGTTCAAAATTCTCTTTCCATTTTAACCCATAAATCGACAATTGAAATTTTTCGGCCCAAATAATTACCATACATTTCATGACCAAGGAATGATGGATGAGAAATAAGCTATAAGAATGCATGTTCTTTTCTGTGTAAAAGGTCTATCAAATCTGGTTTTCCATTTTTTTCCTTTTTTATAAAAATATACTTTTTGCGTCATATGAAATTATAGATAGTCTATTATAGTTGTTGATTGAGATTTGAGACTTGGCCAAAAGTTTCTAAGGTCCACTAGCAGCTAGACTGAAATCAATCTTAGGGTCTTTAAGGGTGGGTTTGGTACATGGAACATGACAAAAGAAAAACCTGTTCTCCCACGTTTGGCACGACTTTAGACTGGGACAGGACAGGACTGGATTGTGGGACAAAAATGTACTTTCTTTTGACCCACCTAATTAGGTGGAACAAAAATTAGGGAGATGAGACAAACTTGGTAAATTACTAATCTACTCATGTCATTAAAACCCTAAAACCTTTCACAAAATTTTCACCTGCCTACCTCGCCCATCCACTCCAGTTCTGTACAGTCTGGTCTGCCTAGTGCCTACCAGGTGCACCCTCGAAGAAATTGCTTGCAATATTTTCATTGTTCGCAGACATGGTAATGGCCAAGAATGAGAAAGGCTTGTATATATTTATGTATGTATTGAAGGAAAACCAAAGTTGCCTAGGCGGAAACATGATGATCCTTTTGGCAATTTCCTAAAACTGATAATTGTCTCGTCTGGTTCTTCTTATCCTTCACTTGATCTTTAGTCATGGTACGCTTTACGATACATAACAAGTCTATGGCAGACTCGATTTCCGTTATCTTATTCCCATATACTAACTTTTGCAGGGAGTTCTACGAGACCTCACCAAGGTTTCAGCATCAGGAACTCAGGACCCTGCTGGAAAGCCCATTGAGCAGGTAAAATCTTGCAAGAACATCATCTTTTCCTTTTGTGGGTCTTGTTTTTGCAAGAAGTGCGATCATGGGTTGTATCTCAATTTAGAAAAAGATGACATCTTGATCACTCTCTTGATGCTTGTTCTTGGCTTCTTATGCAGAGTGATGGTGAAGCAAACAACTTGGATGCCATAAATGCAAATGCTGTTATGGTGGTCTCTAATGGAGACACCTCGGCTGTGACTGCTGAAAGGTGAGCTAAGAGTTTCGAAAACCCCCCTGATATTGAAGTTAAAAAGATGTAAAATAAAGAGAAAATGTTTTCGGTTTAAAAAACTTGGTGGTTACAGAGACTTGTAGACGGGTTGTCACATTAATGACAGCCACAGGTATATAAGACTGTATGATAGCGATGGTAGTTGTAGGTCGGACCGAGGAATGTATGGAGTTTATTTGTATCTCTGATAGTTGATCTCATTGAACACTGAATGCATTTGAGTCTGTTGGTATTATGTTCATGGGCTTCTTCAATCGATCTAGCGGTGAAACCATGAACGGTTACGGTGATTCAGGGTCAGACCACCCTTGGACTGGTTGGGACCCAACTTACCAATTACAAGATCAGTTTGTAGCTGATAAAGGAATCTATACAAAGGATGATCCTCTTTGAAAATAATACATGTGACTTGGACCTCAGTTTTTAATCTCTATATGAAGCACTAAGGCCCGATCTTGACATTTTATGGGTCCTAGGCGAGATATAAGAAAGGGCCTGTACGAAAAAATCTTTAATATGTCGTTTTTAATATCAGAAATAACATTGAATTTACAAAGTACTAATAATTTATGTAAAAAGGTTTTTTCAAATATTTCTAGATGCAAAATCAATTAATGATTATTTTTAAATTAATATTATCTACCATATCGTTTTATATGGCATTGTCAATTCGTTCCATCATCAAAACATCATATTATATACTTTTTAGTATACAAGCAAAAGATCGTGTGAGAAGAGAAGTTGTGGTGAGAAACGTAAGAAGAGATCTGAATTCTTGATAATTTTCAATCTTATGTCAACCCATAATTGTATTTTAGAAGAGAATTGATTCGGTGTATCTCAGTGGACCTAATTAGTGTTGGCATTCAAATAGAATTGATCAAAGGGTGGAGATTTCTTCTCACCATGACTTCCTTTCTCACTAGAACCTACCCCCCCCCCCCCCCC